GGGGGAGAACGAGCTCAGGGATGAGACAGGGTGGGAATAGCGGGGCAGGAAATGGAGTAGCCTGGGATTGCGGAGGTGGATGGGGCAGAGCAGGTGAGGAGAGGGGAACCTACGAGGCACAGGGTGGGAGGAGAGCCAGGCTGGAGGCTCGTGGAGGGCAGAGGTGTGAATAACTGTGGCAGGACTCCGCGTTCCTGCCCTGGGAGGTGAAACCAACCGCCGTGACCCTTGTCTGTGGGCGTTGGGCGCACATAATCCCTCATTACGGATCGGGGTGTACTTCTGGCTCACCTCTGACACACGCCATCCCTGTCAGCCTCCCTCTGCTCTGTAACAGCGGCGTGACTGCACGGGGAGGAAATGTTTGGAGTTCCGCAGGGGGTGTGTGCGGGTGGTGGGAGTGGAGGTCAGCAGGGGACCTGGGATTTTGGGAAGGGGTGTGCGGGAGAGGCGCCGCATCTCCCCCAACGCTTCTGTTGTTGCAGGAGTGCCGGATTGCCCATCCCATTGTTAAATGCACTTACTGCAGGACCGAATTCCAGCAGGAAAGGTAAATGCCCGCTGAGCTGGGGAGACTGACGTTGCCTTTAGAGCAGACGCGCCCGGGGAACCGTGATGTTCCCACACCTTCGCTGACTGAGCCTGAACCTGTAGGTTGTTGCTGTGGAAGAGTTGGGGGACCCTTGGCCTTCTTCAAAGGTCTGCTGGGCAAGTCGGTGTGCCTCTGCATTGCCCTCAGATTGGCACCTTTTGTTTGGTTTTTATTTTTGGTCGGGGCTCAGAGGCATCTTCCAGGGAAGGATCTAGGTGCATCTTCCCACGAGTTTTCCTCTTACCTGATTTCTGGTCTCCAAAGATTATTTCCCAGCGTGTTTCCTTTAGCTGTGCTTTGGTCTTTTTGCAAGTCCCGTAGCTTACAGAGGAAGGGTTGGTAAACCCCGTAGCTGTGTATGGGCATTGTGTGAGGTGTTCTTTCCTGGGGTGGTTGGACAAATACACCTCTGTCCTGACCTGCCCTAACCTCGTCATCCAGAGCAGCCCTCCTCCAGAAGTGAGGCTGTCACCAGCGCTGAATCACGCCTGCTGCCAAGCGGCCAGTGGTCAGACTCCTGTCTTTATGAGGACAAAAAACCTGGTGTCATCTGGGGATGCCTCAGTTAAAAGATACCTCGTAGCAATACCACTTTTTGGCAAATTAGCCTCACCCAGATGGGGATAGGAAATGCACTTTGATATTTGGGTCCCTAGTGAAGATGAATACAGCCTTGCCACCCGAGACGGAGCCCAGGGAAGGCTGGGATCCTAACCACAGAGGTTTGATTTTCTTTGGGGAAGGGTTAATCAGAGTGATCCGTCCTTCTTTTTAACAGCAAAACCAACACAATATGCAAGAAGTGTGCCCAGAACGTGAAGCTCTACGGAACAGTAAGTGAGCAGGGCTCGTTCTCACCAGCCTCTTTTCCTTTCATCTTTCTTGTCTTTATCCTGCTGGATCCCAGAGCGGTTTGTGGGCTGGCTCTGCTGTAATAGCATGACCGATCAATAATAACGCGGGTCCCTCAAGCGTGAAGCTTTTACCTTTTCTTGAGTACAGAAAAGAGCAGCTCTGCATCATTTGAGGCCGGGAAATGAACTATTCGATATCCAACAGCAACACGAGCGTGCTTACACCGGCTGAGGTTGCTGCAGGAAGCAGGGATAAATCTTCCCTGCTTGCCTAAAACCTGAAAAAGCAATTTTGATGATTTCTATTTTGGTGCTATGCGTTTTCTAAAGATTTCATAGCGCTTGATAAATGATCTGGGTGCCGTGGCTCCGTACACTTAGCTGGAGACCAGGGCTCCAAATCCAGCGCTGGCATCAGCGTTAATGATTCGCTTGGAATGGGGAAATGAAGGTTTGGAAGTGACGGGGAGAACGGGGAAGAGCAAGTATTCGTGTAATATCGTGTTGTATCCGTTGTTCTTGTTTCTTAAAGCCCAAACCCTGCCAGTACTGCAACATCATCGCAGCGTTTATTGGCAACAAGTGCCAGCGTTGCACCAACTCCGAGAAGAAGTACGGCCCGCCGCACTCGTGCGAGCAGTGCAAGCAGCAGTGCGCGTTCGACCGCAAGGATGACAGAAAGAAGGTCGGTATCTCTGTCAAAGGAGGCCAAAAAAGGACACAGGGCTGATCACAGCCTGTCCCCTCTCCTTGACATATTCTCTAGCGGTTCCAAAGGGGGTGTCTCTGGGTTGTAAAGTGGTTTTTCTGGAGTTGGGCTTTGCTGTGGGAGCTGGGCTTTGGAGCCCCTTTGAGCCCCTCTGCTCCTTTGCCTGGATCGACTGAGGAAGATCTCTTGAACTTGGCCTAAGGTGGGCTGGGAAAGGAGAAGGGGCCTCCCAGTGAAAAGTGAGGTGTCTGCTTGGGGAGAGGGATGGGGAACAGCATTTGTGCTGTAGCCTGAGGAGCTGGAAGCTCCCACCTCCTCCAGGAAACCCTTTCTGGGGCTTCTGCACCCCCTTTGCAAACAGCAGCTCCGTAGGAGGTGTGTGTCTCGAAGGCCTGCTTCCTGCAGGCTGTAAACGCCTGCTGTTCATGTGGGGTGCTGCACTGATGATCCCTGTCCTCCTGCTGATCCTCCTGGGGCAGAGACCCTTGTTTTGGTCTCCAGCGACGGCTCCTTGGCCCTGCTGCGACAGAAATCCCGCGGGAGCTGGCCTGTCCCAGCAAACAGGCGCCCTAAACCCGTCTGTAAGCAAAGCTTGGCCGGGGCTGGAGTTACCATAGATAAGCTGCTATTTCTTGCCTTGCACCAGCCGTGCCAGAGGCACTTCTGACCCTTTCCGCGCGCTCGAGGGACCCTTTTTGAGCCGCTGCTTCTTCAGACGTGGCGTTAAGCCTGACGGCGCTTCTTGTCTTCTCTCTGGTTGGTTTGTGGGCAGGAAGCAAGACCAAAACTTCTCCCCCTCTCTTCCTTTCTCGCCTTCCAGGTGGATGGAAAGCTGCTGTGCTGGTTGTGCACGCTGTCCTATAAGCGGGTCCTACAGAAGACCAAAGAGCAGTGCAAACACCTGAGCAGCTCTTCCCGGGCCAGCCTGCAAGAGAAGGAACAGTACAGTAGGCTCAGCAGTGCCAGCCACTATAACAGGTCACCTGCACCACTTTGTTTCTCTCTTGTGCAGGGTGAGGTTTGCCTCTGGGGCGAGCCAACAGGGTGCCTGGCTGCTCCCCGCTCTTTGGGTGCGCTTCCTAAAGTGACTGGGAGAAGTGCCTGGGGACCGGGTGCCTTGGTGCTGGGTTTTGGCGGTTGGTTGTTGTGCAGGAGAACCTGGTGTAGTTGAGCTTTGCTCGTTTGCAAACCCCACTGGGCTGGAGTAGGCTTGTAGTCCCCCAGTGCTGCTCAGTGATTCAGCTCGCTGAACTTGTACACAATTAGAGCTAAATTGCGTTTGTAAAATTTAATGATTGAAATGTGGATATTAAGCACAAGTTCTTCACCTACGTACTGATCTGACTGACGCATTGTTTTCTGTTTATTTTTAGTCTCCAGCTGCTCTTCAAAGAGTGAAATTTTTATCGTTCTTTCTTGTGCTAGGAAGTATTGTTTTAATAGGTTCAAAGTGGGTGGGAATATTTATCTGCTGCTCTGTCTTAGACTGCAAGTCATTCAGGTTCTGACGTACAGTTTCCTCCTTTTTTTTTTTCTAGCCAGAAAACCTTATCCACCTCTTCCATTCAGAACGAAATCCCAAAGAAGAAAGCCAAGTTTGATGCCATATCTGCCAACGGTGACAGGTGAGCCTGTTACGTGGGGAAATGGTGGGTGGGCTGTCTTGTTTGCTAGGTTGGTATAAAAGAGTTCTGTGTGAATGGCAGGAAGCTTTTCCCCTAGAGAAGGGATTTCGGGCTTCAGGACCTGGAGGGGCTGCATTAGCAGCTTTCCAGGACCTGGCAGGCCAGTGTGACTTGGCACTTGGACGTAGGTTTGAAGAGGAAAGGGGTACCTAGTGCCTGTACCTGCTAGAAAACAAACTGCTTGTTGGCTGAGCTCCCCAACAGTCAGAAAAACCCACGGCCTGACCAGCCTGATCCTCGCCCTGCGGTTCCAGGGAGAGGGGGGGGCGCGTTGAGGCCTGCAGGTTTTGTGCTTCTGGGGCTGGTCAGGCTGATCTGCGGGGAGCTGGCCTCAGAGGAGAGGATGAAGACCCACCTCCCATTTCCCCTCCTGCCTTCGGGGGGGAGGGACCAGCCATCGAACCACTTTGCTTGAAAGCACCCAGTCCCGTTGTGCTGTTTGTGCTGGGTTGCGTTGACGGCAGCTGCAGGCGCAGCAGAACGGGAGTCGCTAGCAGAAAGAGGAGATTGAGAGGGATTTTGATTTTTTTTTTTTACAGACTTGCACATGCATATTTTCATTCCTGCCTTTCCTCTCTGATCCTCAGCGTTCCTTCCTCTCCCGAGATGCTTTGTCCCCCTATCCAGAGTGCCCCGTCCACCTTGGCGCAGTGGGCTGCTTCCCAACAGAGTCTCGGTGCCCACCATTGTCCTGTTTCTCACGGCACTGACATCCTGAAGTGAGATTACCTGTTGTTTTCTTTTTTTTCCCCCCCTCCCGTTGCCCTCCTTCCCTGGGAACTGCCTCATACGTGGAAACTCTCCCTCTCGGTGGATCTCTTTCCAAACAGCAGTGAATTGGGAGCATGGACCAGAGCATAGACTTGTTAGTGTCCAAGGGTCTGTTAAAGGGTAATTAATTAATCACTGCCTGCCTCGGATGGCTCTTTGAGGTCACAGATCACATCTCACCTATAGATACTATTGACACCTTGTCAATGTTTCTTAATATGTGAAATGCTACGATGGGAAATAAACCAATTTTGTAGGGTAGTGGTTCCTACAGAGTGGTCTACAAGACCGTTTATCGTCTGAACAGTGTTTTCAGTTAAAAGTTGGGAAAAAATTGAAGGATTAACTGTGGCTTGGGAGCTGTGGCTGAGCGTGGAGTGGTCAGAGAATTCGTCTGACTGCCTTCAGTGCTGATGGAGCCACAGGAGAGACTGGAGACAGGTCCCTGCAGCCCATCAGTCTTGCTGCAGCTTTCCCCTCTAGAGAGGCTCCTTGCTCACCCACTGAGGCTGCTCTCTGGGCTTTAGGGCAGCACCAGGTATTTTTATCTGCTCCCTAAAGCCTGGGCTGAGACCTAACAACTCGTTGTAACACCCCTGCTGGCTTGAAAATACCCAAGAAGCAAAAGGTCCCCCACAAAAAACAGAGGCAAGTATTAGAGGAACCAAATGCCTTCATTTTGCTCTTGGGTCAGATGTTGTCGGCCTGGCTCCTGTCAAGGCTGTGGTCCCGGCCACGGGGGTTTTTTTGATGAATCCCAGTAACAAACTGTGTGTAATTTTAGCAACTACTGAAGAGCTCCAGTAACGTGCTGTAGAAAAGGCAAGTTGCAGCGGCCTTAAATAGACACACGGCTCTGTCTCTTGAGAGGAATAACAATGGTGGTTCATTAAGTGTGCTTTTGGCGTTGCTGGGGGGTTTCTTTTTTGGTGAGGATGAAGCCCCCAAAACCCTCCCCTTTTGCACCATTTTCTGTAAGACTGTCTGCCGCAGCGCAAGGACGTTTGCAGCAGCAGCAGCAGCGTAGGCTGGGGTGAGGTGATACACAACCAGCACCTCTTCGCTGCTGAGCTCAGCTGCAAGTTTCTGTACAAAGTGTCTTGGCTCCAGCCAAACTTCTGCTGCAGCCTCCGGGGGGGCAAAATTTGGGCCCGTTGAGCTCCGTTGACTTTGGCAACACCTCCAACAGGGTCCAGCTTATCTGAAATTGTGGCTTGTTTTTGGATACGGTAGGAATTCCTTTACTGTGTCTTACTGAATTCTCTCCGAATGTTTTTGTTGACATATTTTGGAGGGGGTGTTGCTCCCAATGGCTGCGATTTGGGGGGGCTGAGCCGTTTCCAAGGGTCATTGAATGGCTGGTGTCGAGCGGCTCGTTCCGGGTGAGCTCTGCGAGGAGCTGACAGCCCTGGCCCTGCTGCGTGTGGCGTAGCTTTCCCCTGCAGTGACTCTCAGCACGTCTTGCAGCAGACCTTGCCCTGCTAATCCTGCCCCCCTCAGCCAGTCCTGGGCTGCCCCTGCGTGTGTGAGCACCCCAGCTTCACCTCCAGCCTCCGGTGCTGTGCTGGTCCTCACCTGGGCAGCGCTTGGTGTCCCCATCCTCTTGTGCAAGCCCTGCCAGAAGGGTTTTGCTGTTACAGACTCTGCAGGTGACCGTGCTGCGGTCCCTTCTCCTGTGACTGTAGACAAGGTGCTAAATTGTGCTTTTAACACCAGGCGATGCCTGAGCTGGCTGGGGGAGAGCAGCGATGCCAGAAGGTGCTGAGCAGCAAAGTTAATTTAGTAAAAAAGATTCTGATTTGCCTGGAAAAGTCCTGGTGTGCGTTTAAAGCACTGGGACTTGGGCTGAACCACGCCTGCTTTGGGTGGTGGTAGAGGAAGTGTCAGTTCAGGCGCTGGTTCCTCTTGGCCTGGGTGGTTTTTTTTGCATGTGGGGGTGGTTGTTTTTGTCTAAGGTGAAACTTGGGGTGCTGGTTCGGTCAGCCTGGTCTGTGCCTCTTTATGCTAGCCTGAGTTGAATAGCAAAATCTTGAAGCTTGGCGTTTGTTTTGCCTAATTTCAGCCATTTGACAGGTGTGGAGTTTAAGGCAGTCATTTTGGTTTCTTTTCCACTCAGTAGAGGCAGGTGTCTTTGGAACAGCTCCATTTTTCCCCTCCATCTCCGTTGAAAGCAACGGGAGCTCATCAATTCACTTTAATTAGAGGCGTGCATTTTAGGCTGTTCAGACATGGAGAGAGCACGTGTCCCCTGACCTATCCCAGGGAGCTGGGATCCTGGGTATGGAGGTTATTTCTAAGGGAAATGGCTTTTTTGTTGCTTGGTTGGTTGTTTTAGTTCTTAATCTGTTTGTTAAAGGAATGGAAGGACTTGTATTTAGCAGTTTTCCTTCCAATTTTGGAGTCTCAGGCTGCTTCCTTGACGCGGGGTTAAAGACAGAGAAACCTTTCATTCCTGACTTGTCAATCTTTCAGCAAAAGAAATACAAGGAGAGAAAAAACCTGCTCCTGTAATTAGCACCTTGGCACATTGGAGGGTGCATTTTGCAGCAACTGGACAGGGAAGCTCCTGCCTGTGCTCACGTACCTGACAGGAGGGGGTGCCTGGCCACTCTGAGCCCACCCTTACCCGCTGCGGGTGCCGACCCCAGGGGCAGGAGGAGGCCCTCGAAGCTCTGGGATCCTGCCGAGCGGGAGCACGGCTCTGTGGGAGGCTGGTGGCCCCGCCTGTCCCTTCTCCCCGCTGGGTGGCAGGGCCGGCTCTCACCTTCCCGGCTCCGCAGTCTGCTCTGCAACAGGAGCTGCCAAGGAGGGAATTTTTCCTGCTGGAGCTGCACGGGGGAATATGAGCATCTCCCGGCACTCTCTGTCACCCCAGGATATGGCAGGAGGGAAGCTTGCCTGGGCAGAGGGATGGTGTAAGCAAGAGGTTGTTCTTAGCCAGAGGGAATCAGTGGGGAAGACTTTTTTTTTTCCTTTGTGGAGGCTGCTTTTTTTTTTTCCCTCCCTTTCTTTCTCTCCTCCCCAGCATATTTGCACTGAGTGGGAAATGAAAGCTACTGTTAGGAACATGCCTGCACACGTGCTGGAGCACCCACCATCACCTGGCACAGCCTCCCCTTGGGGGAACAGTTTTAAAATGGACGTGTTCTCCGCTCCTGCGCGTGTCTGAGCCTCTTCTGCACTCGAGAGCTGCCCAGTACGATCCAGCATCCCCAGAGCCCTACCTCATCTTATGGTGTGGGCTCTGCTCTCAGCCTGTTTGAACCCTGCAAGGCTCTTCCACCGTGGGCTGTCTCCTACAGACCTTCAGTTCTGAGTTGGCCTTTGCCAAGCTTTCTCTCCCGCTGCCGCGGGGTCGTCCCGTGACTTTCAGATCTGTGGAGCTGCCCTTGCTTAGTTTCCCTCTGTAGATCCCCCAGCGCAGGGGTGGAAAGAGCCTTTTCTTCTGCCACATCCTTGCTAACCAGGCCAATCCATGCAGGCTGTGCTTTTAATTAGGAAATGGATTATTTCCAGGCACTGGAGGAGATCCCGACATGAGGTGAGCCGCCGGTGCTGCCTGCCTCGGTGTCCAGATGGGGGACTGGATGCACGGCAGAAGATTAGCACGGAGAGAGGCACTGATTTGGGTTCAGACCTTCCCCTGTCAGCTGCAGCTCCCAGCTTTCGAGCTGAAGGCAGGCTTTAGGGCACGTGTTGACCTACTGTGGTGGCTTTAAAAAAATGCCAGGCTTCAGGTAAAACTGGCTGTTTATCTTGATAGCGGCAGCGCTGCCCGATAACGGCCAGACGCGAAGTCATCTCGTAGGTGAAGCTTTGTTGCCTTGTGGCTGTTAAATTTTTATGGGGCCATTTCGGCCGTGTGTGGCTGGGTGTGTGCTGCCCTTTTAGCACCGAGAGATCACAAACAGGCTCCCCGTTCCGGCGGTGAGGAGCGGGAGGCAGGGAAAGATCAGGTGAGCTCCCTGCGCCTGTGGCTGCAGCTTATCCTATCTGAGGATCTGAAATATTACTGTAGTAGCTGCCCGGATCACTGGGTGGCTCGCAGGGAGATTTGTGAATTCCCGGTGCAGGGGAGTGACTCACGTCCAGATTAAGTTTCTTCAGCTGGTTGCTTAGGTTTAGAGTACCTGGTGGTGTACAAGTGGTGTCTCTGTCTTCCTGGAGAGAGTCTTTCCGCTCTGAAGCGGTAATGAAGCTTTTTCCTAAGTTGCTCTGTCGTGGTGGGATCAAAATACAGAAGTCCAGCCTGTCTTTGTACCCCTTTTCCCTGCTGAGGACAGTGCTGACTTCAATCTAGGGGTCTCCCTTTGCGTTGTTTGTTTAACTCGGGGGTTATTTGTTTCTCTTTCCATGTTCCCTCCTTGCCAGAACGTTTGTTTACATTTAGTGAATGCACGTCCAAGGGCTGCCTGTGAGCAGAGAGAGTTCTGAAGTGGTTGCAGTGAGTTTCACTAGCTCTCCCATTGCTGTCCTCACCTCTTGGGTTTGAAAAAGGATCCTTGTCACTGGAGTGGTTGCTGCAGAGACGGGCCGGTGGTCACCCATAGCAGTCCCGTGTCCCTGCTGACCGTGCCATAATACAACTCAGTAGATCATCCCTGTGGCCTGTCATACCATGTGTTTCCCAAATTCCACGTGGCATCCAGGGCAGGGATTCAGGCAACACCTGCACTCAGGGGGTGTTTGGAGGACACAACGTGTGTCGGGAAGTGTTTCCCGTTCCCCCTCGAGTGCCATCTGTGGGAGTTTCCCTGCCTCAGTGACGAGACGGGGCCGTGATGAGAGTCTTTTCCCTGTTCTTTGCTGCAGTTTTTCTCCAGACCTCGCCCTGGACTCTCCTGGCACTGACCACTTTGTTATCATTGCCCAGCTGAAGGAAGAAGTGGCTACTTTAAAGAAGATGCTGCACCAGAAAGATCAGATGATTTTGGAGAAGGAGAAGAAGGTACAGCCCTTGGCTTCCTTCCCCCCACGGCATGCTGACGTGTTCACACAGATCACACTCCCAACGGAGTCTGGCTTTTTATCTTGGAGGGAGCAAGAGAGTTTCTGGCTGTCTCCAGGCTGCCTCCTTTCCAAAGCTGAAGAGGCTTTCTGGACCCACCCTGGAGATCTCATTTCATACGGGGTCATTTGCTGACCGCTGTCTTGGAGACCTCCGTGTGGGGGCAAGACTGAGGGGAAAAACCCCATGCTGCTCCTCGCAGAAAGACAGTCCTGGCCGCTCCTGCTTCTCTGTGCCGCTCAGTGAGACGGTTCTGATCTCCTTGCACTCCCCCAGCTCACCCCAGCGTGTTTCTGAACGCGTCCCGTCTCCCACAGCTTCTGCAGAGGCATTTTCTTTGGCCGGGTGCGTCTGGGGTGAAGGCATTAATGTCTTCTTCCAGCTCACTTGCTCCTTCCTGGTTTCTCTGCAGATCACAGAGCTGAAAGCCGACCTCCAGTACCAGGAGTCGCAGATGAGGGCAAAGATGAACCAAATGGAGAAGACACACAAGGAGGTCATGGAGCAGTTACAGGTGACGGCATTTTTGTTTTAATTTGCTGAGCTGTGCTGTCCCCAGGAGTGACTGAGGACACTCCTGATCGCAACACCCCGGGAGCCTCTGCGCACACAGCTCTGCTGACGCTTCTCAGCCCTGTCCTACAGCCTCTCTGCTCTGCCAGGCAAGCCCCTCCCCGGCTCTGTACCGGGCTGCAGTGCACCATAACCCCTGTTTATATCCTCCTTGCTGCTCTCTACTCGGGCTCAGATGTATTGTGTCGTAAAGTGCTGTGTTGTGTCCCCTGCGGATGAGATGGGAACCAGCAAACTCATTTTACCTATTCCCAAAATCGGGTTTGAACCTGGTTTTCCAGCCGGCAGAACCTTTGTCAGCTCCCTGCCCCACGGAGCTTTTAATGTGATTTATGTGACCAGGACCCAGAGCGAACAAAGCTCAAGAAACAATTGGCAGTTCCCTCAGCGCTGTGGCTCTGTAGTTCAAATCAAGAATTCCCTGAGCTCGAGGGAACAGGGAGAGCAGGATTCTTGTCATGGCCATGGAAACACCGGGGCAGACTCAGACACTCTGAGCCACCAAAGAGATCAGGTCAAAGGGGAGCTGGTTACGGGGAAGAAATCAGACACAGGAATGAACTTGGCACCCATTAGTCTGGGGTGTCTAATGATCTAAAGCCGCAGCGATGAGAAACGAGAGGGGGATGGGACAAAAGGCTTATATTCTCCCTGAGAAAGCAGCCCCTCCTCCATCAGCCCACCCCCAAATCCGTTCTCAGAGTGGAAGACAGGTTTTGGAGCCCACAGCTGCGGTCAGAAAGCTGGTGCCCCCGAGATCCCCTTCCCCAATGCGCGCTCTTGAGCACCGTGAGCCTGTCTGAAGGTTGCGAGAGCTGCTTGTGTGGTGTGCCGAGGGCTGGCCGTGCTTCCCGCTCCTCCGGAGCTGGGAGGCACTGGTGGGTTGTAGCGGAGGGACTGCTGACAGCCGGCGCCTTCTGTCTCTGTTCTGCTGTATTCATCCTGCCTCAGCCCCGAGCTGTTTCTGTCTCGTAGCTTTGGGTGGCCTGCAAAGACCCAAAGTGTTCTTCCTCTCGTTTGGAACAATCTGCCGTTAGCCCAAACCGCCGCTTTTTGGTTGCCTTTGGCCGTGAGGTCGAGCCCTAACTGGGAGATGCCCCCCACCCCCCCCACCCCAACTTGCAGTGGTTTCCCCGGGGGCAGGGCACGCTGGGTGCCGGGTGCGGGAGGCAGCGGTGTGCCCTGCTGCTGCCTGTGCTGTAGCTGAAAGAGGACGTCTGCCCCGAAAGCTGTCGGACACCTTCCAACAGCCTTAAACTTGCTCAGTTCTGAAAAGAACGAGGAAACGTCAGCTCCACGAGCAGGTTGGCCCGCAGCCACCTGGGTTTAGGTGGGCTGGGACTGGGACTGGGACTGGGACTGCCCCGAAGTCCTCCTCTCGGGTGTCCGAATGTTTGACTTCAGCTGGGATTGACCGAGGCGCTGGAAACGTCCTGCACTGATTCCAAAATAAAAGTTCAAATCTTCTCGGTGTATTGTAGGTGCCTTGAAGTGTTCGTATGATTCACTTTTTTGCACGTGCTGTTGGGTTTTGTTACGTTGTCTTTTGCCTTACCGGTGGTGGGGGGGGGGAAGCAGGGGTGCCTCTCTCCTTCCAGTCTGCAGGAGGCAAAAGAAGCTGCTTTACCGCGTGCAGCGCTGGAGCAGAGGGTTTAATTCCTCTAATAACCCTTTGCATAATCCTTCTTTCACTGGAAACTCCTACAGAAGACCTGTGTCTGGCTTCACGCAGGTTTTGCCCACAGCTCTAGCCCGATTTACTTCCTAGGCTAGAGCAGAGCGAGCTCAGGAGTTTGGTAAAAGGGGCTGGAGAGCCTTGTTCGTGAGCAGCCGTGATTTTTGGTTAGCTGCGAACCAGAGCGACTGTAAGTTGCTACGTGTTGGCGCTCGGATGGGTGCGGAAAGGGTCGGTACAGAGCTGAATCCTGGTGGCCTGTGAAGAAACCGAGGGTGAGGCAAAGCTGGAGAACAGTGAGCTGCTCCGCTCTGCTTGGGTTTTGATACCAGTGAGAGCGTGGGGTAGGGGAAGTTCCCTTCAAGTCGCTAAAACAAGGGTCAGGAGGGAGGCTTGAGTCACCAGCGCTTTACTCCGCCGTTTCTCACGCTGTCGAAGCACGGCGGCGGGTGGAAGGGGACGGCAGGCGAGCCAGCCCCGCTGACCTTGGGGGCTGTCCTGGGCTGGTTGAGTCGTGCGTTTTGTCACCTTTCGCCAGGGAAGCTGTTCGCTTTCAGCCCACTTCTCGGTTACAGCAGGGGGGAAGGGATGGGAAGAGCCCGTTCTCGGTGGTTAGAGCTGCGGTGCCGGGCTGCGATGCCGCGCAGCAACACCTCCCTCCTGCCTCTGGCCGGGCAGTTCTAGGATCCCAAGGACTTACGATGATCCGTGCCATTAAATACCCGTTTTCACTGTGTTTCCAGGCCAAGAACAGAGAACTCCTGAAGCAAGCAGCTGCCCTATCGAAGGGCAAAAAGCCTGAGAAGTCGGGAGCAATAACCTCCCCTTAAAACCAACCCCCCCCCCACCCCCATCCGGGAGCTTTCCCCAGCATTAGCCAAGGAGGCTAGGAGGACCCGCCTGATCGCTGGAAGCCAAAACCTCCGTGTTGTCACTCTCCCACCGCCGTGGCCTCGATGGAAACGCCTGGTGTGTGTGTTGCCTTCCGACAGCAGGCTCGAGCGTGTCTGCGCTGGCTCTCCGCTGAACACCCGCTCTGTGTCACGGCGATCCAGGGGGAGAGGTCCCAGCCGTCCTAAATTCCCCCCTGCCCCCCACAACGTACTGCTTTCTGAAAGAAGGGGTTTTTTTTTTTATTTCCTCACCAGTTACTACCACTGCCAACCCGCAGGAACCTGCTCTGCTCGAGCCTTTTTGCCGGTTCCCCACCTGCTGCTGTGAGGCAGCAGCCGTGGCCGGTCGTTACGCGGATAAGACGGGAGCTGCGTGTGGTGGGAGCTTGGTTTGTCTTGAACTCTTCCCTCTTCAAAAAGAAGCCGGTACCTCACCAGCCCGACAGATGTTCCTGGAAGGTTGTGCCACCGCTGAGAACGGTGGATCCAGCGTTTTGAAGATGCTTCCAAAATGGGGGCTTTGTGTTTATCTTGGAAGTGGTTCTGGTTTTGTTTTTCTTCTTCTCTATGTCGACTTGGCAAACCGAGCTGCCCGGTTTTGTGTTTCCTTGTTTTCTTAGGATAGCTTTGGGGTTGGGAGCCAGAGTGTAACGACACAGACCCAAACCCACCCCATATCCCGCCCGCACCCCCCGGTTACTTGGTGACCTTTGGGGCTCAGAGGACTTCTGCAGCTTGGTGTGATCAAGCGTCTCTTACTCCATTTCTTCACACGAGGAGAATTCAGGGCTTGGAGGTTTCCCTCGGCTCCCCTCAGTCCCTGCATCGAGCTCACCCTCTTCACCCCCTTTCCCTGCCCCGCTGCTCCCTTCCAGATGCAGAAGCCAGGTTGGCTCCAGGAAAGCGCTTACTCAGGCAACGACTCAAGCCAGGGAGTGTTTTTTTGGGGCTCTCCAGGGACATTTCTCACTGCTGATGAAAAGCCAGCAGAATCAAAGGGCTACGAAAGTTCCCTGTAACAGGGACGTGCTTCTCAGAAACAGCACAAGAGACCACAGCCCCTTCCAGCCAGGCCAGCTGGGGTGGGCGCTCCCCAGGCTCCGTCTTTCGGGGCGGAGGGATAAAAAGCGCTGGGGCCGCTGCGGTGGGGGGGGGAAAGCACCGCCCAGCTCCCGGCTGGCAGGGGGGCTCCTCGGCATCCCGGCTCCTGGAGGGGGAGAAACATCTCGGAGACCCTCGGGATGGAGGAGTCGATGAAACCTTGGTCTGGAGCGGCGCTGGAGGTGGGCAGCGAAGAGGAGAAACCGCCCTTTTGAGGCAGGGCCGGCTGCCCTGTCAGGGTTTTTATTGAGATTTTAACTAGAGATTGTGATTTTTTTTTTTTTAATGATGGTTTTTTTTTCATCCTTTTTTTTGTTACTAAAGATGACTTTACTCAAAGGCACTTTTTTTGATGATGTTGGCTTCCGGCACGGAAGGAGCACGTTGCAGCATCAGACACTCTGCCATGTGGTTTTTGTGTTCTTTTAAGAGACTTCTGATGTGAAAACAAGAAAAAAAAAAAAAAAGTTGTTACACTTTGCCAGAGTGTGACAGCAGGAAAGTCCTCACCTAATTTTATACTTCACACGTTTTTAGAAAATGAGGTGCATTGGTGGGATTTTTTTTTTTCTTTTTTAAATGGGGGCTTTGCTTTTTTCGCTTCCCTCAAGATACAGAAATAAACGGAGGGAGAAGGGCCCTGTATATACTGTTACGGTTTGTTTGGGGTTTGGTTTTTTGGTTTTTTTTTTTTTAATTGTGATAAACTGATCCTGCAGTCGAGTAGCTGATGATTTGTAGTAATAACATTGTTCCTTTGTATGTTTGTAATAACGGAGATTTTAAAAGGGATGCTTTGATTTGTACAAAACTGACAACTGTAAAAGTGTTTTAAGAAATCCTCACCTGTCTCTGCTACTTTCTATTTGCCTTTTAAAGGAAAAAAAAAACAAACCCAACCCAAAAGCAACCAAAGCACCTTTCCCTGCCGGGAACTGATTTATCTCCTGCTGGTGGCTGCCTGGTCGTGCCGCTTCGGGGTCTGGCGTGGATGGGAAGGAGACGGCAGCTGTTTCGTGCTTGGTTGGCTCCTACTTTGGTTGCTATCTTTAAATCCTCCCCGTCGGGCCTGTTGCTAGGATCCTCGTTCCTTGGTTACCTCCAGCTTCCCAGGACCCATCCGCCTGGGTCCGATGGGATCTCTTCTCCCTTTTCTTCCCCAGCCACACGGACAAAAGCAGAAACAACACGGCCTTGGTAAGAAACAACAAGGTGAGGATACGGGGGTTGATTCTTCGGAGAGACAAATGCGGACACGGGGAGTAAACACCATGTGTGTCCCTGGAGCCTTCCCCTTATCTCAGTCTAGAGGAAAAAACAGGTTGGTTTTGGTTATTTTGTTTTTC